ACATATTTATTAAAAAACTTATTCAATAATATAAATCATAACGGTCAACATGGGAGGGTTATTCGGATGATAAACACCCTTCATACACATTTAACTTGAATTCAAATAAACACCTTCCACACACATTTAACCTGGACCATCAAAACAATAAAACGTCATTTGATTAAATTTTACCCAATAATCTATTTTTACTTTGTCACCAATGACCAGGAAAGAAAGCAACATAAGTCTTTGGTCATTGCTTAGACTAAGTCACATTTGGGACGAGTATTAATAAGACTAGTCAAACGTTTTTAAAATACTGCAAGTAAATTACTTATGAAATAAGGCCAGCTTTTATGCCTGTAGTAAAAAGTGAAAATTTTAGAAATAATGGTAGTTTAAGGCCTAAATTATCAAATATAACGATAGTTTAGCTAATTATGACTTAAAGCTATTATTTGGAGTTGTATATGTTCACTTTAATTTGCATCTGTTGTATCTGTTCACTTTATATATGTTGGATACATTATATTTATTCTCTCAATCTAGTTATATTTATTTGGAACAATGATAATAATATCTTAAATTACTCAAACGACATATCATCGAATTATCAGAATACAGATGATAACAATATATAATAGCATTCCAAAATAAAAATTTGTTTGTCTTAGAAGCACATCAAGACATTTCTCGAAGATAGTTGAAATCTTTCCTATAAACAAATAAAAGAATAAATGAGTTTGATCTCAGGTTATCCCATATAGGAAATCACTCGCCCAATCAACTTAGTCAATCCTTGCGAGTACATGTAGTGTATTGTAAGTCAAATTAATTCGTTGAATTATTTAAACACCTAGTAACATCACGACGCATTTGTTGCGTTATTTATTGACTATAGAACTTTGCAATTCTTGAAGCCAGTGTATGCATGGTTATTCGCACTTGATATTTTACAATATGTATATATAAAATATATGAGTTCATTCATGCATGTTTTACTTAATCATGGTTAATTATTCAAACATATGCTCAATTTAATTTGTAACCACTAAGATAAATTTTCTATAAGTTGTAAATTGTGGTTAAGCATGAAATATATATTTGATCAGATTTTGGATCTATAACTCTTATAACCTCTTTTATTTATTTACGATATTAGATTCATCTCCCTTATCCTTATTATTTTGGTAAATGATTCTATTACTATATTTATCATTTATCATAAATATAAAAATCAAAAGTTGACGAATTTATCCTTATTAAGATACTTTTAAATGTAATAAATGATTTAGAATAAAAGCATAATAAGTAGAAAAGGGTTTCTTGGGACTTGAGTACTTTATGAATCTGAGATTGTTCAGGTGAAATTAAGCATTGCCGGAGAAGCAGTACTTACGGAACAAATGAAAGATAATAGGGTGAGGAAAGCCACTAAATTAAAGGTTTCACTCGCTCAATCTTATGCTCGTTTAGTGGACAATAAGTGGAGTGTATATGCTCATTTGAAGATAGAGGGTGAATATTGTTGGGTTCGAAAGTGTATATGACGTCATGCGAAAGTTTATAATTGTAAATCATGTTTGTGATAAATCAGATTGATAAATAAAAATATACTAAAAGACATAATATTATTATATGATATGACCAATTGACCTACATAATTAAACTAATAAAGACATTAAACCGTAGAGAGAAAATCTCCCCACAAACAAAACTCTTAAATGTCTACATTGTGGATGTTATTGTGTTATGCTATGAGAATAGGGATCTTCAATTTATAGATCTCCAAACTTTTCCTCTAAGGAAAGAATAAATCAAATATGGAAGAAAATTATATTTTCCTTTCAGAAAAAGTTCAAGAATTTATGGTAATACTTTGGTTCTTCTTTAAGGAAAAAAATAAACTTCAAATAATAAGGAAATAAAATCAGGGCAAAACCCTAACAAGTACTGCATGAGCTCGTAAGTAAAGTACAAAAAAATCTTATCTCTGAATAAAAATGATCTTATTGTGCTTGCTTTTGACAAAGCTTCTAGCTCTAAATAATAGGAACTATGTTATAGTAGGATTAATATCATTGATCATTATAAGCTATAGCATAGGCCGAGGCGGTGAAGTAGAATTTGAAATTTATGGGTCTGAATTTGTCACTAAATGCATATATAGCTCATTTTAGTTACTGAATTTGCATTTTAATAATTTTACATATCTAATTGATTTTGTAATATAAATACATAATTAAGCAAAAGCTATTGAATTTATTTAAATTTGTATTTGATAATATAGCTCTAACCTGAGTATAACAGGCTATGTATAAAGGCGAGCAACCTTATAGCAATAGCAAACCAGGGGCGGCTGGTTAGGCTTAAGGAAAAGTCCTTGGCCTTAGGCCCCCAATTTTAGGGGCCCCATTTTTTAGTTAATTACGTAAGATTAAATTTAAAAAAAATTAGAATGAAGACAATAATAAATGCAAACGGCTGGAAAAAAAAATGCAAACGGTTGGGAAAAAAATGGAGCTGGGAACCTAAATAAGCCACAAAAACATAAAAGTTACCAAAATAAGTCATTACTTTAGGAAGTAACTAAAATAGGCTTAGTGGAAGAAAAAATTCCACTTTATCTAATATTCTAAACGTTTTCCGTTAGTTTCATAACGTGTATATTTTAATATATAACGGAACTATTTCCTACACTTTATAAAATGGAACTATTTCTTACACTTTATAAAGTGTAATTTTTTCTTACACTTTGTAAAGTGGAACTTTTTCTTACACTTTATAAAATGGAAGAAAAAATTGCACTTTTTAAAAAGTTACTTTACCTTTTCACTTCTTCTTCTCCCCTTTCACTTTCATGGCTTCCAAACTTTTTTCAGAATGAAGATTAACAGTTGATAGTCCCAATCCGACAACTAAAGCAGCCCTACACTACAAAATCAAAATCTTGAAAGATTGGAGTAGCACAACCCGACAACATAACAATCCGACCCTACAAATTATATAAATTAGGTATTTTTTTCATCTCATATTTTCATTACTTTAAAATGATGTTGTAATTTGTTCAAAATTTCAAAAGATAATAGATTAGAAATAAGTTGGAACTTAACTTCATTACTCATTTGCTACAAATTATACTACCAAAAGTATTAGACATTTACGTTTCTAATCCCCTAAAATAAAAATCTGTTATAGGAACTTTTACTGATGTACTTCAGGTACAAATAATGTTAACTAGACCAAAATAGATCAAGTTACGGAAAAAGAAATAGGAGGACGGGGAGAGAAAAAAGCTTATAGACAATAAAAAGAGTAATTTTGCTAAGTGGAGAATATAGTTAAATAATTACAAACCAATATTGCCAACTTTTGGATCATTATGCAATCATGCAATAAGATTTTCTTATGCTAAGCATAAACTATAATGGTAAATAC